CGGTACTACGTGTTCTGAAGCCTTGATTTGTTTCCCTTCAATGACAACGTATGAAGATTGTAGAGCTTTGGCTGGTCTAAGAGCCCTCTTCACAGGTAAGCTAGAACTGTGTGCGGTGACAGGTGAGTCTTGCACAATATCTAGTGGTTAAATATCTCAACAAAATTTAATTACTATCGTACAATAGTGTTCGTATATAAATATCCATATGTCACATCTTTCCAATTGCTATACATGAAAGTATTTATTGACATCACATGTGACTTTAATTATACTGTGCACTATGCAATAGAATACAAAACTAATGCAATCATTCGTTAATACCTCTTTCGTCTCACTTTTCGTGTCCTTCACGACATCGGATATTATCGAGTCAACACGTGCTTGTACCTCTCTGGTGCATGTTGATACCGACATGCTCGGTTGGTATATCCAACACCCAGATCGAAGGATGGGGGTTCCAGAGTACAGTGAAAGCCCAATTCTTTAACGGTTTCCATCTTACCTTTACCTTTCAATTCACCAGTCTTGCCAATGTGTTTAGTCTGAAGAGAGAAAAAGACAAGTTAAATTCAATCATGAATGCACTCATAGTTGAAGAATTCACGTAGTATAGCTGTCACGTACATCATCTATGGGTTCGAACACTTCAACAGGCTGCGCGGCAAATTTCTTGCTAATTTTGTTCATAACCTCGTCAATGGAGTTGGAAATCATGGCTACGGATTTCACCTTGCAAGCGCACGATAAGGTTCATTTTCTTGAGTTGATCAAACTTGATACACGACATCTATGACATCACGTCATCGAGCTCAGAAATCAACACTTGGTTCTTAGAATATAGTTTAGATACTTCTCTATTGAAATGCTTTCTCAATTCGTCAACAGCCTACAACATATCACCTATAATCAGTTCCAATATGAAAAAAAAAACAATAATAATTCAATGACATGTGAAAAATGTAATGTAAAATAAGTAGCAACATGTGACATATATTTATAAAATTTGCTAACTTGAATCTAACAACTTACATCATTCGATTGAGGACCATTGCTTTGAGGCATATGTGGAGTACTTGCATCAGTTGATTGTCCTTTCCCGATTGGAGAATTGCTATGAAATGTTGGGCTATGTGATAAGTGTATTTTTGCACACTTATTTAGATCACAAACATGACTTAAATACAAGCAAAATGATTGAATTGTGACTTAATCTCATTGAATTCATGCAATGTAGGTGTTTCTATGGAAATAGTGGAATTCAGGAGAAGAGAGCCGAAAAAGGACTAAAATGAATTAAACTGAAAATTCGAGGACCAAGTTGCAAATAATTCATAGATGAGACGGGAAATGGAATGAAGATTCAAGAGTGTTAGAAGTCAATCGGATGAGGAAAGGAGTCACGAGGTGAAATAGGGTCGAAGTATTATCAAGTATCAACTTTCAGGCAAAAAAGTTATGCTCCTAATTTTTAGTATCTACTTGAGATCTGTTTTTTGCGTAGTAAACATCAGAATTTGAGTAAGTCTATTTCTATCAATAATGTAGATCTTTGAGTTTTCTTCTCAATGCACTTTGAATCACTTCAATTGGATATCAGACGAGAAAGTTATGACCAAAATACTAAACGCTATCCGGCGGAAAGAATGTATGCCTATGCGGTCGCATAGTATAAACTCTATGCGGTCGCATAGAATCCTCCCGAGAACTTTTTCTCAAATTTTGTTTACTCTATGCGACAGCATAGGTTATGCCTATGCGGTCGCATAGGTATAATCTGGGGGTCGTTTTGCAGTTTCCTTATACGATTGAAACTCCTTTGGTAACTTAATTTCCACGCGATTTAAATACGAAAGAACGTCCAGAAGAAGGGGAGAACGTAATTGGAGGCACAAATACACAATTTTGGAGGATTTGGAGGGGAAGAACAAGGCAAAAACAAGGCAATCCACTTCAAGATTCAAGATTTCACTTCAAGAATCAATTGGGTGATATTCTTCCTTGGTTTTAATTGTTGTTTTTCTTTATTTCCCATCATGTTAGACTAGATTTTCTTGTGCTAGGAGATCGTTGTACCATGTGATTTGAGTTTATATTTCTAGTTTTGCAATTTGACATTAAAACATATTTCTTTTGTTTTGAATGATTTATATGCATTTATTATTTCTGCAATTAAGGGCCCGTAATTGTGTGAGTTTGGGTGATTTATTCTTGCATTCGAGAGAATTGGAATAGATTCGACATAATATAAATCATCGTAGGGTCCGATAGGAGATAGAAATATACCGCTATGCCCTACGTGAATCTTTAAGTGTTCATAAAACTACATGCATTTTTACATATGCACTTGTCATAGAAATATAGGCCGGTGGTATGTAGAAATAGGTTTGATACATCTCGAGAGAGAGTATTGGATAGACTTAGGAACATTGATTCGTCAACAATTGAATTATGTTGTCATATTGTGAAACTAGAGTTTAAAGTGATAATTGCATGGGAAATCGTGATCCTAGTGTGTTTAATTTCTATTGATTACAACAAACGTGCGTTCTCAACAATTGATTTCATTTTAGAGTTTCTAATTATTGTTTTGCTTATTAATTTCAGTACATTCATAAAAGCTGCATAAGTAGGGTTTTCTTTCCAATTTTAGAGTTTTAATTAGGTCCACATTCATTTTGAGTAATTTGGTTTCGGTTAAGGTCGAATAAGTAAAATTGAACTAACCAATCTCTGTGGGACGATACTCGGACTCATTGAATCCACTTTATTACTTGTTAACGAACCGTACACTTGCGGTAATTTAAATCGAAGAAAATATTTCGTGAACAAGTTTTTGGCACCGTTGCCGGGGATTGAGTTTAGTTTAATTTCATTTTTTAGGCACTAATTCGAACTTTAAATTTTTTTTTTATTTTTTTATTTATTTTCGTTTAGGTTATTTTATTTTATTTCTATTATAGTTCTTCAAATTGTTTGAATTTGAGTGCTACTACTGGTTTTCTCGCAGAGTTGCATGCCAAGATCGACTGAAGGAGAATTGTTTTCAACTGATCCTGAAATTGAGCATACTTTTCATCGACTGTAAAGAGAGACTAGAGAAGCACAGTTGCAAATGGCTAATGAACTGGACAATCCTATTATCCCAGCCAATGAAGGAGAGACAATGAACGAAGGAAATGAGATTTTGGGCGACTTCTTGACTCCTCAAGTGATTCAAAGCCAGTCCAGCATTGTGTATCCACCGTTTGGGCAACCAAATTTCCAGTTGAAGACAAATGTGATACAGCTATTTCAAAATAGACATCAGTTCTATGGCAAAGCCGAGGAGAATCCACATACACACATATCTCGATTTTTAGATATGTGTCAACATTTCAAATATCAAGGAATCTCGGACGATGCTATTAGGCTAAGGCTTTTTCCACACACCTTGCGGGACAAGGCACTTGAATGGTTGGATTCACTTCCTATTGCAAGCATCACTACTTGGAACGAGTTGGCTCATAAATTCTGCACGAAGTTCTTCTCACCAGCCAAGAAAGCGAAACTAAGACATGAGATATCGATATTCAGTCAAGGGGAGTCTGAATCATTTGACGAAGCCTGGAATAGATTCAAAAACTAAGACATGAGATGTCGATATTCAGTCAAGGGGAGTCTGAATCATTTGACGAAGCTTGGAATAGATTCAAAAACATGCTCCGAAAGTGCCCTCAACATAAAGAATGGCTACCACTTCAGCTATGTGGTCCTCTGAGCGGGTGATTCAGAAGAAGCCTTCGGGTGTCTATGAGGTAGGTGCATATTCAGCCATATCTGTGAAGATTGACTCGTTGTTTCACAAGGTAGAAAGCATATCACAAACAACACAAAATAAGAAGATTAGCTGTGAAGAATGTAGAGCTGAGCATAAAACATCAGAGTGTCCAATTTTAATGCAAGGAGTTGAACAGACAGATTTTGTGCAATGGGGTCAACGCCAACAAAATAACCCACATTCGGAAACCTTCAATCAAGGCTGGAGAAAACACCCAAACTTCTCGTGGAGTAATCAGAATCAAAACATACCACAAGGTCAATATCAGCAGCAGGACAAAAAGCCACCATTGGAAGAGATGTTTGAGAAGTTCATGGTAACAACCAATCAGTATATGGAAGCCAACAACCAGTTTATGCGAAGGACAAAAGCAACTCTTCAAGACCAAAGTGCAGCGATCAAGAATTTGGAGACACAAATGGGACAGATGGCAATCTCTATGACGGGTAGAGCACCAGGAAATCTACCTAGCAATACTGAAATCAATCCCAAAGAGCAAGCTAAGGCTATTACAACTCGAAGTGGAGGGCAATTACTGGAAATCCATGTCAAGAGACCAGGTGTGACTGTAGAGACATCCTTCCCTGCTGAAGATGAGACTGCTGTAAAGGAATCAACTCCAGGGGAAAATTCAGAAAAATCACATGATAAGGCCAAGGTTACAGTCAGCCCATACGAGCCTCCAATTCCCTTTCCACGGCGGTTGAAGAAGCATAAAATGGAGCAACAGTACAAGAAATTTCTAGAAGCCTTCAAAAAGCTCCATATCAACATCCCACTAGCCGATGCACTATTACAAATGCCCAGCTATGCAAAATTTCTAAAAGACATATTATCAAATAAACGCAAGCTGGAGGATCATGAAACAATAATGCTAACCGAAGAGTGCATCGCAAGAATTCAGAAAAAGCTTCCACCAAAATCGAAAGATCCAGGGAGTTTCACTGTCCCGTGCACAATTGATGATTTTTATTTTAATAAAGCATTGTGTGATCTTGGTGTGAGTATTAATCTTACGCCTTTATCTATTTTCAAGAAACTAGGATTGGGAGAGCCTAAAGCAACTACAGTAACTCTACAGTTGGCTGATCGATCACTTACACATCCACGAGGGATTATCGAAGATGTATTGGGCAAAGTGGATAAACTTATATTCCCAGCAGACTTCTTAATCCTGGACATGGAAGAAGACAAGGACGTACCTATCATATTGGGACGACCATTTTTGGCTACTGCAAGAGCGCTCATAGATGTACAACAAGGACAATTGACATTGAGGCTGGGAGAGGAGAAAGTCTCTTTCAATGTTTTCAAGGCAATGAAATATCCCACCGAGCCAGACACCTGTTGCCAGATTGGGGTGATTGACATAGGAATCCCCTACAATTTTGAGTTGAAGAAACCGCCAGACATTCAAGAGGTCAGTATGATGCACCCTCAATCCACTCTCACTGACTCAAAGGAGATCGAGATATGCATTGTGGAGTCTCAAACAGATGATGAGGAAAAGTCACACCACTTGGAAAAGGATAGGGTTGAAGTGCGAAGGATAAATGCAATGCAGAACAAGACCATATTGAGCAAACTATGCAGGACCTCTCGAGCCATATTCAAAGTCCCGTAACACACCTGTGCTAAAAGTCGAGCTATCGACTATAAAATAGCGCTGGTTGGGAGGCAACCCAACGTTTCTACCCTTTCATTTACTTCATTTCGCAATAGTTTAGGAATTTTTCATTTTTCTTTACATTGCCAATAGCTTTAGGTCATTGATCATACATCCTATCACATGTAGTCGAGGCATGGTCCACACGAGTCCCAATGCATTGAGCACGAGTCATAAGGTTGAAGTCCTGTTTTAGTTAGTCATGGGTCAAATTGAACAAAATGCATATCTAGAGCTAAGTTTCGTTGGTAATTCATATTTTTTGTGATATGAACCCTATGTTGAGATATAAATTATGCATCCTGCACACCAACAATATACACATGCACCTTGTAGCAAATTTGGAGAATTTGTGCACTGCGTAGATTATTTCTTGCCTTAGTTGCATTTGTTTACATCATGTGGACTAATATACATACTTGGTACTTTTGCAAATGCTGCCAAAAAAAAAAAAAAAAGCACAGCTCCACCACCAAGAGATAATACAGCAAGACTCAGTTTTCCATCACCATCTCCATACAGATCAGGGAAGTATTGTTTACCCCTTTTGATATTTATCTTTTGAAATTGTCCTTAAAATTATGTCTTTAATCTTTCGTTAATCTTACATTGAGGACAATGTATTAACTAAGTTTGAGGGGTGACATAATTTTAAATCTTTCTATGTGTTCATCATTATCTGTGTTCCATTATTGCATAATGTGTGCTTGATGTGTGTAAAAAAAAATTGCAATTTTTTCAGTTTGTTTTAATTCCTTTCTTGCATGCTTGTGTGAACTTGATAACCTTGCTAGCTATGATGTTATTATTGGATTGGTATAATTTACAAACTGTGGACATAGTGCTAAATAAATTGGCCAATACTTGTTGATGTAATACTTGACATTCTTTATGCACGCCATTCATGCTTTACATGTTAGGTTAGTGATTGGGATTTTGAGCATAAAGTAGGAAAATAATGATAACCCTCTATTAAATTAACCCGTAAACCACCTTAATACAGTTTGGTGATAATTGAGCTATTATAGGGAAGCATTGAGATGAGCGGGGGCTCCGTGCATGAATTTTATTGTGTGGATTGCCTAGACCAGTGGGATGAAGAGTAGGTGAAAATCTTAAATTGGGGGTTGATTTTGGAAACTAAATGTCCAGAAAAACAACAAAGGTCATAAATTTAATATGCGAGAATAAGACACTTCTTTTCATGCCTTTATGACTCGAGCAAGTAAGCCTGTAAGGATATTTCAAAATCTGATGCCCTAAGGTCAACTGGTCTGGGAGTCACCGGCCTAAAGCTCGATACATGGGTCATAAAGAAAGCAAGAGGGAAAGAGGTTAATAAAAAACCATCTGATCGAGCCTTTATAACTCGAGTGAATAAGCCTGTAAGGGTTTAAAAACCTGGTGCCCTAAAACCAACTGGTTTGGGAGTCACCGGCCTAAAGCTCGTTACATGGGTTATATAGAAAGCAAATGAGAAGATGATGAGAAAAAAAAATAAAAAGAATTTCAGAAAATCAGAGAAAAGTGAGAAAAACAAAAGAGAAACAAAAACATGAAGAAAAGCCCTTTGGACATTTGGTGGAAGTAACTATACCTTTGAGGCAAGGCAAGTAGCCTAGTTTAATCTTGAGTGTCGAAGCAATCAAAACTTAGGAGAGCTTTCACTGGTTGACATGTAAACTTGTGATAGTGAGATTGATCCAAACTACAAGAGGGTGAGAAATACAGCTCTATGAAAACTCCAAATTTTAGAAACACAACTCCGGGATAATTGAGTGAAAAGAATAAGTTTGGGGGTTGTGTATCTCTCGAGCGAGTAAGGATACATTTGACCACTTAGGGTCGGGACTCAAACTCATCATGAATTTGATATGTTGGCATGAATTCACACACACACACGTCAAGTATGCATTTAACAGGTAAAGGTTGATGTCATTTTACACTGATAAATTTTCATAAAACCAATTACTTAGTCCAATCCTGAGCCAAGGCAAGGTGTTAAGCCATATTTGTTCAGAATTAAGTCACTATCTTGTTTGAGGACAAACAATAGTTCAAGTTTGGGGGGTTTGATAAGTGTATTTTTGCACACTTATTTAGATCACAAACATGACTTAAATACAAGCAAAATGATTGAATTGTGACTTAATCTCATTGAATTCATGCAATGTAGGTGTTTCTATGGAAATAGTGGAATTCAGGAGAAAAGAGCCGAAAAAGGACTAAAATGAATTAAACTGAAAATTCGAGGACCAAGTTGCAAATAATTCATAGATGAGACGGGAAATGGAATGAAGATTCAAGAGTGTTAGAAGTCAATCGGATGAGGAAAGGAGTCACGAGGTGAAATAGGGTCGAAGTATTATCAAGTATCAACTTTCAGGCAAAAAAGCTATGCTCCTGATTTTTAGTATCTACTTGAGATCTGTTTTTTGCGTAGTAAACATCAGAATTTGAGGAAGTCTATTTCTATCAATAATGTAGATCTTTGAGTTTTCTTCTCAATGCACTTTGAATCACTTCAATTGGATATCAGACGAGAAAGTTATGACCAAAATACTAAAAGCTATCCGGCGGAAAGAATGTATGCCTATGCGGTCGCATAGTATAAACTCTATGCGGTCGCATAGAATCCTCCCGAGAACTTTTTCTCAAATTTTGTTTACTCTATGCGACAGCATAGGTTATATCTGGGGGCCGTTTTGCAGTTTCCTTATACGATTGAAACTCCTTTGGTAACCTAATTTCCACGCGATTTAAATACGAAAGAACGTCCAGAAGAAGGGGAGAACGTAATTGGAGGCACAAAAACACAATTTTGGAGGATTTGGAGGGGAAGAACAAGGCAAAAACAAGGCAATCCACTTCAAGATTCAAGATTTCACTTCAAGAATCAATTGGGTGATGTTCTTCCTTGGTTTTAATTGTTGTTTTTCTTTATTTCCAATTATGTTAGGCTAGATTTTCATGTGCTAGGAGATCGATGTACCATGTGATTTGAGTTTTATATTTCTAGTTCTGTAATTCGATATCTTCAACCGATGATTATATGGAAGCTACCTTTTAGTAGGGCGGGACTTGATTTGTGACTCTTTCTCAAGGCCAATTTTATCATTTAAACCCAACTTTAAATCAGGCATTCCAGAAAGAAAGCACTTCATAACGATCTTCCCAGTTACATCGCAACGTAGAACGCTACCTAAATTACCAAATTGTCAGTGAGAAGCAAAAGCAAAAATGAACAGGGGAAATATAATCACAATAAAATGTTGTCCTCAACTCTCAGGTTGAAAATGAGAAACGAGAAAAATTGCATCATGCACAAATGATCACCATTAATAATTATTTACCTTTGGAAGACATAAGAAGATTAACACTTTCAACAATATCAAGAAATACCTGTCGACAAATAGAAGCTAATTTAGTATAATTGCAGTGATTAAAATATGACAAAGTAATGGTATCAGATAGAAGAGCCAACCTCATTCTTCTTATAGACAAGACCTTCCCTGCGCCAGCCAACAGCACCAGTTACTTGTAAAGTAGCATTTGGAATTGGTCTGTCTACAGGCTGTTTGGTTGTTCACACAAGGCATAGAGTATTACGATAATCATCATGAAATTCAGAAATTAGTAGCATGTATCACTTCACAAGGCATAAGATTTTCCATTTAGTTATAAACTAGTATCATAGATCTCTTCAAATCATTATTTCCCTGAATATTGTTCTTCCAAAGAAAATGGTGAGATAAGTCGCACATCTAACCTTGGAGGAAAATGGTGAGCGTACACCATCCTGAGTAATGTAAAGCTTCAAGATTTCAGGTGAAAGGTTTTGAGGGTAACCAAAATCCAATATCTCTGTAATTCATAGGGAAATGTCAGTCAACCATCCAAATTTTTGGTCACTCTGTACAGTATAGAAGTTTTCTCCAGTTCTTAGTTTGGGAAGGGAGGGGCCTTGTTAAGGTTCAAGTGAATGCACCTGTTAAGTAACTCAATAAAGAAAACAGAGTACTTCATACTCAAAAAATATTGTTGGCCACACTAAAAGGCTCAACCTTAGAAGATTTTATTGCAGTGAATAAACACACTGTTCACTTATGATCCTGTAAGCATACATCACGAGCATATTGTATCCAATAATGCTAAAATGCGAATCAAAAATTAAAGTAGAAAAAGCTAGAGCAAAGAGATAAGAAGCCAAGTGTAAATATGTTTCAGTAAATATGACTATCCTTTGTACTTTGATCAATAAAGATCTTCTGTTTTATTTTATAGGACATGCAACATTAAATATTGAAACTGATTCTTTCATAAAAGAAGAGGGAAGTAGACTAATAAGTGTGTTTTTGCACACTTATTTAGATTACAAAACAAGCAAAATGATTGAATTGTGACTTAATCTCATTGAATTCATACAGTGTAGGTGTTTCTATGGAAATAGTGGAATTCAGGAGAAGAGAGCCGAGAAAGGACTAAAATGGAGCAAAGTGATAGTTCAGGGATTAAGGATGCAAATATTCGAAAGTTGAACTAAAAGACAACTCGGGAATGCAAATATGCTAAGTATGAACTCGAAAGCAATACAAGATGATTGGAAGAAGAAGGAATTGCAAAGGGACTAAAATGAATTAAACTGAAAGTTCGGGGACCAAGTTGCAAATAATTCATAGATGAGACGGGAAATGGAATGAAGATTCAAGAGTGTTAGAGGTCAATCGGATGAGGAAAGGTATCGTCGTTGCCAGAATATCATAGTCCAGAAACCAAACAAAATTCAGTGACAGAGAATCTCACAAATCTCCCTACGATGTCAAACCACAATTCATTCTCGTTTGATTGTCAAACCTGCCTCAACAGAAAATAATGAATCAACTGAGATTGCACCACGATTTCATGACAATCCAAAAAGTGACCAAAACATGTGTTACGAAGTATGTTTTGTTGTGCCTCATTAAGATTTGATTGGAATTTGGTCAGCACCCGCTTGGTAGGAATAACTGTGATTTTTCCAGGGAACCAGCGATTCTGTGGTATAATAAAGCTCCAAACCTGCATATTGACGAGAAAAATTAGTGACAAATGTCACACATGTAAAGTACTAAAATCATAATACACATGGCAACAAGGTCCATTTTACGAGTTACATCTCCGAATATACATAATAGCAACATGAAGAAGTAAACTAGTTGGTCACATATCGACAATAAAGTTACATAAGTGAGTATAGTAGTGGCCAATTTATAGGTCACATGGATGCAAAGTTATGCCATTGATATTCGAATTGCATATTGGTCACAGATGAATGAAAAAAAAGTTTTGGGCACAAATGGATTAGGGACACTGCATATGCAATTCCTTATCATTCGGTCGATCAAACAACGACTTTAACAGTTGAGTATGCACAAGACCCATGACATGCAGTAGTACGACGCCCAACGTGCTCACGAGGAACTCATACGACACAAATGGAATCACCCCGCACAACAAATTCACAAATCAAACTTAGCATGCTTCACATGTTTAAAACACAAAAGAAAATGCTCCATACCCATCAATTTTAAGGGTTCGTGAATGTAAATCAAATTAAAATCAACACGATACAAGCAAAAATACTTTCTTTGCAGAAGCTTTCAAGCCCAACCGAGAAGATTTGTGCCTTTTCGATGGGGAACATTATGTGATTCCTTGACCTTCCTTTTACCTCTACCATCTAAAGAATCTGTAGCTTTCTTCATCGGATTTTCGGTCTCCGAATGGGCCATTAATCTCTCATCCCACACACCAACTAAGTAATAATAACACTTGTACAATGAGGTTATGAGGCGGGAGTATAATGTGCGTGTCGACTGTGTTCGGGAGTTTATCTGAGGGCAGGGTCGTTGGCGTAGACGGCGAGGGGTTCATACGATCATGTCGTGGGAGTAATATTAAGGATGTGGGGTGCGGTTACAAAGTATGTGGAAGTTGAAGAGATTTCTTGAAATAAAACTCTAAAATCACGCGATATGATTGGAACGTGTATCTAAAAAGGTGATATTTAAATATAATTAGTTATATATATATCTTATAAATAAAATTAAATACATTTATGATCTATGAAAGAAAAAACACCCTACCTGATTTGAGAAATCACATCTCCAAAAGTAGGGTGGGGTGTAATTTCCATTAATTCTATAGTATCGATAATAGAAATATCTTTTTGAAAAATTATAACATCAATAGTAATTATTAAACTTTCAAATCTACTTAGTAAGATTTTTATTCCTGTAATAAATTCATCTATTATTAATTCACTAACTAATGTAGTTGTTAAACTATATTATCTTTCTTGACATTTAATTTTGCAGTCATCAAAAAGCCTTTCTTCAAATCTTACTTTACAACCGTCAATTTTGATTACCTCTTATTTCATATTCTACTTTTTGTCTGAAGTATTCTAAAACTAAGTCTTTTCTAATTATGTTAAATGTACACTCCGTGTCTATGAAAGCTACTAAATTTAATTTTATCGTTTTATTTATTTGTATTTCTGTGGGTATTTTGAGGTTTTTGGTTGACTTTACTCTAGAAATTTGACAAACCATTTCTTCTTGATTTTTTGAGATGAAATTATGAGTGTTTTTTATGCCGAATAAATGATCGACATTACTGTACCTAGAATTGTTACGACTCCTCCAATTATGAATGTTTTTAACTTTTCTATTATTATCTTCACTGTACTTTCTAAATAATTATTTTCTATGTAATTATCTATAGGCTATTTTCCTTTTGTTTCCAGATTTTTAATCATATGTTGTATTTCTTCTAATGTTTCATATATATTATCTATTCTATTCTGTTATTTATATTTATTATCTTATTTTCTAATCTTTTTTATATTTTTACTATAATCTTTAATTTTGTTATTAATTTCTTCTTTGATTCCTAAACAAATATTAAATTGGATTTCAAAGCAATTTTTATATCGATTTCTATTTTTATGTCCTGAGTATATTTATATTTTTGCATTTATTCGTCATTATCATTATCCTCTAATCCATTCATGGACACAATCTTGTTCTATATTCATCATTCTTGTATTAAGAATTGAAAATTTTAGTTCTTTTAAACTACTATAGTTGTCTTCAGAACTGCTTATTATTTTAAATTTTCTAATTCTTTGTCTGTATATATACTATAATCTGAACTCCAAGATTCATTATAAGATAATTATATAATATCACACTATTTTTCTTTAATTATCATAGATTTAGCTATATTTTCTCTACTTCTATTTTTGTTGGGGCATTTATTAGCAAAATGTTTAGGGTATACCCGAATATAATATTTACATTCTTTTTTATTACTTGGCTTTTTAACATATCTATTATAATTATGTTTTTGGTTTTTATAATATGTCATGCTTGATTTAATAGTATACTTTTTACTATTTTGATATCGTCTTTTATATATATATATATATCATAGGGTTTTCTTAAAAGAAAATCTTCTCTCTTAAGAAGGGAATGTTTGTATTTTATTATTATTTTCTCTTATAATTTTCACGTCTTTTTGTCTTTTCTTACAATTTTTAGGATCTTTTATCAAGAAATTCGAGCACTAAGAGATAGAAATCTTAGTGATTTGCTTCTTGATCTGTAAAGAGATGTTGCCTCTATTTCTATCTAATGCGGATAATATGGTGTTTCCTATAACAACTAATCTACCAATTCTTGATTTTCTAAACAAATATTAATAAACTCTTTAAAACTTTCTACTGAATAACAAAGAAAAGTAGATGCAAAACAATATATTTGTAATGGCATTAGAATATTTTACCGTTTAGCAAATTAATCTCTTCAGATACATTTTTTCTCACTCTCTCTTAGCTCTTTTCTTGACTTTCTAAAAAGGTTAAGACTAAAACCAAAAAAGATTTTTATCATTAGTTTCATTAATAAACAAATTATTATATTTATAGTCTTATTTCAATCCAAACAGTCAAATCTATTAGTTTGATTAATAAACAGATGATGTAACTTGCATAGATCGTAATTTGTAATTTTTTTGCTTAATTCTGAAACATAGATTGTTACATTATTTTCATATTTCAATGAACTAAGAATAGAAAAAAAAAAACGCATAACTACCATAATTTCAATAGATACACTTTTAAATTTGATAAAAATTAATGAAATCTTTCAAAAATTAGGTGGTAACATTTTGTGACCTATATTTGATCAAACATGTCCACTCACAATAAAACACAATTTATGACCTCGTGTAACAAATCAGAAATCACATAATTAACAAGTTACAAATCATTTATTAGTCACACCACACAATTAACTAGCCACAATCACTCTTCATCTCACTTCATCCCACCCACATGCCAAATTGTCGGCACTATCCACATTGTCGGCACCACCTGAAATTCACCACCACCTCCACCATCCATTTAAATCCGAGTGAAATAGTTAGCAATGGCATACTCTTGATCTTACCTCCGCCATCTCATGTATTACATTGCATAAAATGGAAATTAGGGACTCGGTGCATAAATTCCTCAAAATGACGTTAATCAAAATGATAACCAATCAAATTCCATGATGAACAAAATCAAGAATAAGAGAGAGAACAATGCTATGCTTACTGGGGAAAGAAATTTATAGAATTCCACTTGACAGATTTTCATTGGGTATTTGGGCAAAAAATCTAAAATAAAATAAAATGGATAATTCTCCATGTACATTATGGTATCCATAATGTACATGTTAAATTCCATTATTGGAGGGTTGAAAAAACAGTTTTTCAACTCTCTAATGATGTTATGTCACTTGTACGTGTGGCATAATCCAAATAAAATAAGTCAGAGGTGCTGCCATATCAATATTGTAAAGCTGTTTGGACAATTAATCTATACAAACAACTTAACTATAAGAGAAAATGACTTGACTATGCCCAAAAGTGTAACCTTGCCATTCATCTCGACAAACATGGTTCACTCCCTTTTTCTCATTTTTTTCTCTCTTTACCACCAACATAAAAAAGAATATTTTTCATAAATTCATTTCGAAATTGAACCCAAAAAGAAAATGGATTCAAAAAAGTGGCGATCAAGCATGGGAAGAAGAAAAAGATGGGCGGCATTTCCAGCGGCAGTGGTGGGAATGGTGGTGGTTACGGACAGCTCCTTAAATTTAACTAAGCGGAACGACATGTGGGCAATGGTATTAGTGGTGGTGGAGCAAGGGATGAAGAAGAAGTTGGGTAGCATTTTCAATGGTGGTGGTGGCGGAGGACAAGTGAAGTTGGAGACTAACGGAGTGTCAAGTGTGTATCTAAGTCGCACATAAATTCTGGGGTGGGCTATACCTGAATTTTGTAAGAATAAACTTAAATTTTAATTTTTGAAATGATGGACAATCGTCATGATCAAATCAAACCATGTACCTAGTAATGTAATTGACCTTTCAACCTAGATGTATTTTCAATTTTTATAAGTCTATTTAGGATAAATCATTCTTTGTCGAGCAAGTTATATCTTCTGCACTTTTATGTCCAAGTAAATAGCTTGTGTTATTACAAAGTGGTCAATAACCCTTAATCAGTTACTATAATATATAACGAAACTCAAAATGAAAAACTACTCATTATAGACAAGACATAAATATTATAAATTACAGTTACGTATTAATAATTTTGGTCCCCTAATCCAACATCCATAGGCTAACAGATGTTGTAAGAAACATAATTTATTTTAGCTAATTTGACTCATACAAACTTATTGCACGCATCAAGCATAAAAACATTAATCATTCACTGTTGCCAATTTTAAATTATAAGGTGGATCTGGTCTATCAACTCCCTCGCTGTTCCTTAACCAGTAAGTCCGATCAAAGGAGGCTGCATCAGTTGGGACGTCATCCATCACCCTTTCACGGCCTTTGGGACAGTATATTCCTGTACGAGGATGAGGTAACCAGCAAAGTAGTCCATCGCCCTCCTGCTGCCTCTTATCGCGGCCCTCTACTGATTCTTTCAATTTGATACCATTATATGACCCTTCAAGCTTGCTCATGCAACGTCCAATTCGTTTAACTTCAACCAGCCTGCACAAATACATTACGCGTTCGATTAGTGATGACAAAGTGGACGACACTCGATTAGATTTATGAGGCCTGGTGGGGTTGTCTTCGAAAAAGAGTCGTGCAGGATTTGGTACTATAGCCTGCAAAGCCAAAAATAAGCAAAATTCAAAATAATAATACATGGTCCTTGTCCGACCCAATTTCAGATTGGCATGTGAGCCAAAATTGATCAAGACTAGCCCTATACAAAACTTAGGACAACACATGCCCATAAGTGGGTACTTTTGTATCTCTTTCTACGATGATTGACTCGATTGACACCATTAATTATTTAGGCTGTTTTATTGGTTGTACACATGGATTTTTTGTCGGACAGTGTATAGGTGCCGTGGCAATTTTTCCCTTTTTTTGCCATCGGTCAATTAAAAATTGACCAGCGTCTTTGATTATTATTAACAATTGGACTTTACTAATAAAGAAAAAGTAACTTGAAAATAAATTATAAGCAAGAAAATTGTATAAACAGAGGATAATTAACCTAATAAGCGACGATGACTTGATCTTCATAATCCCAGCTCTGGCCTTGGCAATTGAGGGTAGTTTCAAACAGCTGCAGGACCTTTATATATATGCTAAAGAATAATTATATAAAGCCATTAATTAATTATACGCCATTTATTCAATTAATGTAGAATAAATTCTTTTCTTAATCTGGTGATCAATATTTAAAACAAATCAAAACAGCAAAGCAAAAGTAAAATTCCATCAATGTTTAGTAATCTGCAGATTCTTATAACTTGCGGTTATGAACAACTTACAAGTAATATTATAAAGAGGATGAGAATTATTACCATATATAATGTGCTTATTCATCGAGTAATCTTCAGTTTCTTGTCTATAAACACACACAGAGTATGTTTCTATTCGTGTGACTTCGACGTGCACTGTGTGGTGCTGTTCACTTATGTGTCCACTGCTTATTTAAGTGTTACTATAATTTGATACATGCAATCTCTAAGTGCTTGTTTGGTGGCAATTTTAAGTCAATTAAAATCAATTTTTTGACCGTTATTTTACTATTTCAACCGTTATTTTTGAATTTTTCTCTGATAAGTATGATCCACTTTATTTCTAACGATCAAAAAATCAATTCCCAAAATTTCCACCAAACAAGCACTAAGATTTACAATTTTTATCTACACACATACGTACTACCAATAACTTAAAATATTTTTTTTATAAAA